GTCAGGGCGGCCGGGCCGAGCGGAGCCCAAAGGGTGCTGGTTTTCTCACAGCACCCGAGGAAGGGAGCAGGTACCAAAGCCTTCAGCGCCAGCTCGCCCTGGAAGCTTGAGAGGGCTTAGCTGCTGCGGTTTTTGCCTCGCTCCCTGAAGAGCAGGCTGGGGGGTTGACTTGTCCTTCGAGCTGGTTGCGGGAGGAGGTGCAGAGCCGCATGGAGTCCTGCTTTACGGCCTAGGGGAAGGCGGTTAACTAACCGGAGAAATGGCTTTGAGCCTCGCCGTGCCGGCCTGGGAAAGGGGAGGCGTGCGAGGGGCGGCTGGGTCTCCCTTCTTTTCTCAGTCTGTGGGGAAGCAAAGCGCGAGTTGTTTGTAGTGTTCTTGTGAAACAGCTTTAACCAAGAAAACTGGAGTTTGCAGCCCTTAACATCTCATATCTTTACTGTTAAACTTACTTAGGTTGATCAAAAATGGCTAGCAGCAATGGCTGGTTGCAGAGTCCTGGAATACCCGCCTTTGACCCCATACAAAAGAAGACTTTGCCAGCTGGGGCTCCTAAGCAGCCGCCTTTAAAGAAGCTTTCTCAGTCTGTGACTGTGAGGCCAAAAATTCCACCTTCTGAGAGGTGCAGTGTACCAAAGGTGATGCAAAATCCAGGTATAGTTTTCAGTTTATGCCCTGGGATTGGCTATTAGAATACACTGTTAATGCTAGTGAAAATAACCTTATGATTTGCTCTTTTTTTGAAAGGTTGCAATCCTCTGCTGCTTTTCCTTACTGCTGTATTTTCTTAATTGACTTCCTTAGCACGTGCTTGACCTTGCTCTTCTTCGTCCTATGTCCTTTCCTACTGGAAGTTTGTTAGAGATTTGTTGTAGGGTGGGCTATATAGTCTGCAGCGTTTCATAATTATTAATTCTAAGTTATACATCAAAAGTGTTGCAAAGGTTGCCAAAATACAGGATACGTACTGCTGCGTGAATTTTCATACAGATCATTAAGAAAAAGTTTAACTGCGGTTCTAGATGTCCCAGGATGTATTTTGAATTCTTTGTCTTCAAATAGTTGTATTAAGGTAATGGCACCTATTTATGAGGCTTGGGGATAACAGGTTACTTTAGTTGTTCTTGGCTGGGAGATACTTGTGCCTGAGTATATTGCAACCCTGAAGCTGAAGATTCCATCCATCCTAGAGGTGATACAGGGGAAAAGATTTCATTTTTTCTCTTGAACCTAAAAGAACCCCCCCATCCTTCACAGAAATAGGTGCTGCAGGAAGCATTACTTGGTTATTCTATAGGAGACTTCCAAGTCGAAGACAACTGTCCAGATACAATGTGCTACTTGGAGGAGTTTGTCTCTCCAATGAAACTCAAGTAGGGGTTTGCATTGGGACTACTCAGAATTTATAGAAGCCTCTTACAACTTGAGTAAGTTGCTTCATGTTGTCTTCTGAAGAGCGTAAGGGCTCTGTGCTAGGACAGGTGAAACACCCACCCACTCACCTGCTGTCTGGGTTCCAGGTGTGGTTAACTGGGGGGGGGCGATGACACGACCTGCAGGGTCAGGGTGGGTGTGCAAGTGCAGACCTTCTCATCTTCTGTCCTCACCACCTCAGTCAGAGGTGCTGACTGTGTTCAGCAGCTCTTTGTGGGTAGGTTTATTTTTGTCTTTCTTTGAATGAGTTACCTGCTTTTTGAATAATGTGTGTGACTGCTAAAACGTTTATAATACCTTATGACAGGGTTCCACTGCTTCATAGTTCTGAGTGAAAAACCACATGCTCCATGGCTTTGAATCTGCCATCAGCAACTTTAATTTGGTCACTGGTTTGCAAGGGAGAGGAGGGGGAATATATGTTGCATTTACATGTAATATCTGTCTATATTCAGAGGTTAATGGATTTAGTGCTCAAAGTAAAAGCTTGGATGCCTTTAGAAGGGGAGGTACATGCCATTTCAGAATTGCTAGTATTGTTAATGTGGGATTTAGTACAAAGCAATACTGCTCTAGAGTAAATGTTTTTGCTTTTTGTTCTAAGCAGCATCTATTGTAAACAGATTTAAACTGTCAGAGAGTGTGCTCAGTTCCTTTCTTCATTTTGTTTCAGAACCTTTTCTTTTGAAAGCAGCCCGTGCACCCGTGTTATTAGCGCTTCCTCCAAAGGAAGACCTAATAGAGTTTATTGCAAGATACGAACAGGGAATAGTAAACCCAGTATCTGCCTTGCATCAGTTTGCACAAATGTACCATGTAAAAGTTGAATTGAAAGAAACTAGTGTGGCAGGTAAATACTACTTCTTTTCTTAACTAAAATAATATTTGCTTATCTTTGAGATGATCTGAATTTCTGCAGTTAGTACTGATGGCACTAATACAGACGATTTTTTTTTTTTACTGTTAGTTGCACTACCCTCCACTCATATTGCTTTTTGGCTGCCCTTTTATTGTCAATACAGCTGTGTCTCATAATTAATTACTACAAAACTCAGGTGAATCTATAAAGTTCTGGCTGTTACCAGAACTTTGCGAAAAGTGCATAGAGTGAAGGCTGCCAAAATTCTTGTGGAGGTGAAAGGTTTGAGTTGTATTTTGCTAAAATTGTCTTTTTTATCTTGTACTTCTCCTTGGAATATACATAAGCACAAAAAGCTATGGATAAAAGTACCTGAAAATAATTTCACTAATTGTGTCTACATTTTTTCTCCTTTAAAGGCAATATCATAAGGCCTTATTTTGCCTTTTGTGCTGTGGTAGATGGTGTTTGCTACAAGACTGGACTGGGAAAAAACAAGAAGGAATCCAAATTAAATGCAGCTAAACTGGCTCTTGATGAGCTACTTAACTTGGACTGTAAAGGGGCTTCTGAAATGTCAGGTAAATATTCTAGCAACACCTAGTTAGAACTTGAAAAGCTTGGCTTAAAGGTTTCCTATGCAAAATCTCTGTAGTTTTATTAAATAATTCTCTATTAGAGCCTCTGTCAGTTTTCTTGAATCCTTTGGGCAGAACTGTTTCTTGTATGGTTCTGAAACTGGTTTTTTCCTTTGTCTTTTGTGTGTTAGGAGTTGCATCCCTTCGTAGCACAGAGCAGAGAATACTGAAGGAATTAATTTATTTGTTGCTGTTGCACTTGATTTGCTACTCACTAGGTAACAGCAATATGAAGTCAAGTCTAAGTGGTTTTGAATTTTATGATTAAAAGGCTTTAACACTGAGTTACTACTATCAAAAGAATTCAGTTACCATACCGTTTATCTTCTTTTAAGGGTCACTGCCTAAATAGTTCTATGCTTACAAGGACTTCGAAATCAGAAAAGAAAATTCCTAGAGAATTAGAAACTTTAACTTGCTGGAACTAGTGTGAGATTCATGTTTTGAAATTTGGAATGTCCATCCCAGTTTGAAATTTTGTTAAATTCTTAGATCCTCCCTGTATTCCCGCTGAGCTCCAAGCTCCAGCAAACTCTGTTCGTGTCTCAAGGATCTGTTTTGGTAAGAAATCATCTTTTTTTTTCTCTATTGATTCAAATTACCCAGCAAATGCTTGCTTTTTTTTTTCTTCTTTTTTTAAATTCTTCTTTTAATACATTTAGTGATTTCTATGAAGTTACTGTTATTTTAAACATAATCTTAAAGAATGCAGTAAGAATTAGTGTCACTAAAGCAGGATATTGACTGTTGGTTCTAGAAACAGACACAAGTTCAGTAAATTTCTTGACTTAACATCTCATATCTTTACTGTTAAACTTACTTAGGTTGATCAAAAATGGCTAGCAGCAATGGCTGGTTGCAGAGTCCTGGAATACCCGCCTTTGACCCCATACAAAAGAAGACTTTGCCAGCTGGGGCTCCTAAGCAGCCGCCTTTAAAGAAGCTTTCTCAGTCTGTGACTGTGAGGCCAAAAATTCCACCTTCTGAGAGGTGCAGTGTACCAAAGGTGATGCAAAATCCAGGTATAGTTTTCAGTTTATACCCTGGGATTGGCTATTAGAATACACTGTTAATGCTAGTGAAAATAACCTCATGATTTGCTCTTTTTTTGAAAGGTCGCAATCCTCTGCTGCTTTTTCTTACTGCTGTATTTTCTTAATTGACTTCCTTAGCACGTGCTTGACCTTGCTCTTCTTCGTCCTATGTCCTTTCCTACTGGAAGTTTGTTAGAGATTTGTTGTAGGGTGGGCTATATAGTCTGCAGCGTTTCATAATTATTAATTCTAAGTTATACATCAAAAGTGTTGCAAAGGTTGCCAAAATACAGGATACGTACTGCTGCGTGAATTTTCATACAGATCATTAAGAAAAAGTTTAACTGCGGTTCTAGATGTCCCAGGATGTATTTTGAATTCTTTGTCTTCAAATAGTTGTATTAAGGTAATGGCACCTATTTATGAGGCTTGGGGATAACAGGTTACTTTAGTTGTTCTTGGCTGGGAGATACTTGTGCCTGAGTATATTGCAACCCTGAAGCTGAAGATTCCATCCATCCTAGAGGTGATACAGGGGAAAAGATTTCATTTTTTCTCTTGAACCTAAAAGAACCCCCCCATCCTTCACAGAAATAGGTGCTGCAGGAAGCATTACTTGGTTATTCTATAGGAGACTTCCAAGTCGAAGACAACTGTCCAGATACAATGTGCTACTTGGAGGAGTTTGTCTCTCCAATGAAACTCAAGTAGGGGTTTGCATTGGGACTACTCAGAATTTATAGAAGCCTCTTACAACTTGAGTAAGTTGCTTCATGTTGTCTTCTGAAGAGCGTAAGGGCTCTGTGCTAGGACAGGTGAAACACCCACCCACTCACCTGCTGTCTGGGTTCCAGGTGTGGTTAACTGGGGGGGGGCGATGACACGACCTGCAGGGTCAGGGTGGGTGTGCAAGTGCAGACCTTCTCATCTTCTGTCCTCACCACCTCAGTCAGAGGTGCTGACTGTGTTCAGCAGCTCTTTGTGGGTAGGTTTATTTTTGTCTTTCTTTGAATGAGTTACCTGCTTTTTGAATAATGTGTGTGACTGCTAAAACGTTTATAATACCTTATGACAGGGTTCCACTGCTTCATAGTTCTGAGTGAAAAACCACATGCTCCATGGCTTTGAATCTGCCATCAGCAACTTTAATTTGGTCACTGGTTTGCAAGGGAGAGGAGGGGGAATATATGTTGCATTTACATGTAATATCTGTCTATATTCAGAGGTTAATGGATTTAGTGCTCAAAGTAAAAGCTTGGATGCCTTTAGAAGGGGAGGTACATGCCATTTCAGAATTGCTAGTATTGTTAATGTGGGATTTAGTACAAAGCAATACTGCTCTAGAGTAAATGTTTTTGCTTTTTGTTCTAAGCAGCATCTATTGTAAACAGATTTAAACTGTCAGAGAGTGTGCTCAGTTCCTTTCTTCATTTTGTTTCAGAACCTTTTCTTTTGAAAGCAGCCCGTGCACCCGTGTTATTAGCGCTTCCTCCAAAGGAAGACCTAATAGAGTTTATTGCAAGATACGAACAGGGAATAGTAAACCCAGTATCTGCCTTGCATCAGTTTGCACAAATGTACCATGTAAAAGTTGAATTGAAAGAAACTAGTGTGGCAGGTAAATACTACTTCTTTTCTTAACTAAAATAATATTTGCTTATCTTTGAGATGATCTGAATTTCTGCAGTTAGTACTGATGGCACTAATACAGACGATTTTTTTTTTTTACTGTTAGTTGCACTACCCTCCACTCATATTGCTTTTTGGCTGCCCTTTTATTGTCAATACAGCTGTGTCTCATAATTAATTACTACAAAACTCAGGTGAATCTATAAAGTTCTGGCTGTTACCAGAACTTTGCGAAAAGTGCATAGAGTGAAGGCTGCCAAAATTCTTGTGGAGGTGAAAGGTTTGAGTTGTATTTTGCTAAAATTGTCTTTTTTATCTTGTACTTCTCCTTGGAATATACATAAGCACAAAAAGCTATGGATAAAAGTACCTGAAAATAATTTCACTAATTGTGTCTACATTTTTTCTCCTTTAAAGGCAATATCATAAGGCCTTATTTTGCCTTTTGTGCTGTGGTAGATGGTGTTTGCTACAAGACTGGACTGGGAAAAAACAAGAAGGAATCCAAATTAAATGCAGCTAAACTGGCTCTTGATGAGCTACTTAACTTGGACTGTAAAGGGGCTTCTGAAATGTCAGGTAAATATTCTAGCAACACCTAGTTAGAACTTGAAAAGCTTGGCTTAAAGGTTTCCTATGCAAAATCTCTGTAGTTTTATTAAATAATTCTCTATTAGAGCCTCTGTCAGTTTTCTTGAATCCTTTGGGCAGAACTGTTTCTTGTATGGTTCTGAAACTGGTTTTTTCCTTTGTCTTTTGTGTGTTAGGAGTTGCATCCCTTCGTAGCACAGAGCAGAGAATACTGAAGGAATTAATTTATTTGTTGCTGTTGCACTTGATTTGCTACTCACTAGGTAACAGCAATATGAAGTCAAGTCTAAGTGGTTTTGAATTTTATGATTAAAAGGCTTTAACACTGAGTTACTACTATCAAAAGAATTCAGTTACCATACCGTTTATCTTCTTTTAAGGGTCACTGCCTAAATAGTTCTATGCTTACAAGGACTTCGAAATCAGAAAAGAAAATTCCTAGAGAATTAGAAACTTTAACTTGCTGGAACTAGTGTGAGATTCATGTTTTGAAATTTGGAATGTCCATCCCAGTTTGAAATTTTGTTAAATTCTTAGATCCTCCCTGTATTCCCGCTGAGCTCCAAGCTCCAGCAAACTCTGTTCGTGTCTCAAGGATCTGTTTTGGTAAGAAATCATCTTTTTTTTTCTCTATTGATTCAAATTACCCAGCAAATGCTTGCTTTTTTTTTTCTTCTTTTTTTAAATTCTTCTTTTAATACATTTAGTGATTTCTATGAAGTTACTGTTATTTTAAACATAATCTTAAAGAATGCAGTAAGAATTAGTGTCACTAAAGCAGGATATTGACTGTTGGTTCTAGAAACAGACACAAGTTCAGTAAATTTCTTGAATTCAAGGGGCAAATTGGTGACAGAAATAGAAATGGTGTTTCTGTCCTTACTTGAAATACTGTGTGCAGTAGGTGATCAAACTTGATCCATATTATTACCATGAATAATAAAAGCATACAGTGTTTAGGTATTCTTGTTTATTTATTCATGTCCATCCTGATAATCTTCAGAATCCCAAAAGAGTATGTTGATAGTAGTGCTTTTACCATGTGTTTAGATTTATAATTTGGCAAGTGGTTAATCATGTCTGTTTATCTGCCACCCCCCCTCCCCTTTGTGTCTTGCTGGCTTTTATTATTTTATTTAGAAGGAAGACAGCTTATGTATCACAAACTTTCACGAACACTTGAAGAAGTATTTAACAGCCTCACTAGCAAACACCCCGAGTACCAAAGCTGTGGCAGTTCACTGGCTGCCTTCATCATTGAAAAAGGCAAGTCTTGTTTTCATTGTGAGTACTGGGGACGGGAAAACCTAGGCTGTTGGTGTTCCCAGGGAGCCTTGATTAACATGTTTCTGACCAGGTAAATAAATGTGGAGGGTAGCTCTCCTACTTTGACATACTGTGTTCCGATGGCTCCAGTCGCATGCATAATTGTGCTACAGTCACACAAATATTCAAGACCTATGTAAGCATTTCCTTGTGCTGTCTCAAAGAGGAGTAAAGCTGTGTAGGCCAGAGCAGGTGACTATGCCCTGAAGGAAGCTGCAGTCCGTGGAGAACCCATGCTGGAGCTGGCTTCAGGCAAGAGCTGTGGTCCGTGGAGAGGAGCCCACAGTGGAGCAGGTTTTCTAGCAGGACCTGTGACCCTGTGGGGGACCTATGCTGCAGCATTCTGTTCTTAATCATTTTGGTTGGAAAAAACCTTTAAGATTGAGTCCAGCCTGCTGGGGGACAGGGGGTGTGAGAGAGTGGCTTGGTGGCCACCTAGCAGCCAGACAAGGTTAACCCACCCCAATCAAGTAAAAAAATGTTTTCTTTTTAGGTGGACAGCATGAAGTTGTAGCTCTAGGAACAGGAGAATGTAATTACAGTCAGTGCTTTCAACCTTGTGGAAGAGTGTTGCATGACAGCCATGCCATTGTTATTGCAAGACGTTCTCTGCTTAGGTGAGAATGTGTGTGTATAAATAGGTACCAGTTCTCTTGCAGCCAGTTCTTTTCAGTTTTACTTTCGCAAATGTAAATGTAAGCGCACTTGCGTTTTATATTTAGTACCTTTTGCGCTATTTTCAAATCGTGTGAATTCAGTGTGAATGTCCATGTATTCGTAAACAAAGTAGTGTTTCCCACGTTTACTGTTACTTAACGTCTTTTCTTTTTTTTTTTTTTTTTTTTTGT